AGAGTACTTTCTTGTAAGGTCAGCAAGCTTCTTCTTCAGTTCTGCTGATTCTGCAGTAGAATTTGATGTCTCACCAGCCGCTGCATTAACTTCTCTTGAATCTGCATCACTAGTGTTCGCTGACAGTTCAACAACGGCGTCGTCAACTTCCATGGTGTCGTGCCCATAACACGATGTTCCTTGCCGTGTAGATTCAGGAACGGCGTGGTTTTGTGGGGTCTCTAGGGTAGTTTTAACTGCAGCTGGATATTGACGCAGACCAGGAGGAGATTTGTTGGTCTCGTTGCTGGAGGGTGCAGGCACAGTTCTTTCTTTTGGTGGCTTTCGTTCCTTAGGCAGTGCTGCAAGCAGAAATGTATGTATTCATGAACATATTCAAGCAATGCCAGTTCATGTCTAGCTTGTTAATTTTACAAATGTAACACATGCAGCAGATACCGGCTTAGTTATTGACGTGAGGAAGACACTTGTCCTTCCCCCGCCCTTTCCACAAGGGATAGGGGAAGGTCTTAAAATACCATAATTAAATTGTGCTCAAAATTTCTCCCCACAATAAATGGCTCTAATTCAAATTGGAGCTTCATATGCCAGAGCTACGCGTGTGCGCCGTTGTGGAGGGCTCAACTGACATTCGCTCCCTATGCAGTTTATTGATTATTTGATTGTAGGGCTTAACACGCCAACGCAACGCAGGTAATGAGGCGCACTGTAGTGGGGGCTCGTGCATCGTGGATCTCGTATACATAATGGTTTCCGTTTTCCCCCTTTGTAAATAACATAGCCACTGCACCTGACATCCTAGCAGTACACGACCGTGTGCTAAGTAGCGGAAAACTGTTGTGCAGTGGGTCATGCCTGTAAACACTGAAATCCAGACGTATATACAGTCATGACCAAAAAATGCAAACAAGAAATATAAACCACAACACTCAAGTATCGCAATTTTTTTTTACATGCAAGTCAAAGTGATGCAACGTAATCACAAAAACAAAGTTGGGAAATGTAGCTTTCCAAACGCACTAATAGCGTGCCATTATTTGACCGTCTAATATTAGCAGTATTTTTCGATTTTGCGTGGTCTGGTTCACATTTTTGTGTTCGCATTTCCTAGCTTTGTCCGTGACTGCATTTCCAGAATTTATGCACTAATGTGGACGCAGCATATGAGGACCTATTTGGTGTTAGCTTCGTAGAAATCCCAGGTACATAGAGTACTTGCAACTGGTGCTGCTTTATGTAATGCAAGAAAAAAGTTCAATCTTACGTTTGAATGTGAACAAAGTTGGGACGGCATTTGGTTTCAACTTCTTCCAGCCATCCGCACGATGTTGCTCATAGTTGTTCTCTTCAAAGTGAGCCTGCAAATAAAACCAGAATTGGAAATTAACACACTGGCAGAAGAAAAACGAATGTCTGTCACTGTCAATAAACAAGATTTCATGTATGCATTCAGTATGATTCGTAGCAGGAACTAGCAGCAACTTTGAAACACAAAAAGAAGGAAACTAATTGAGCTCACGCGCGCTTTCACGTTAGCCACTTCAGTGAGCGCGATCATAGACCCAGCCTGCTGTTATAATAACCCTTTCAATTTTCGCACTGAAAATCTGTAAGGATTCCTGAATTCATGTGAATAAAATATTAGTCTATTGTACCGACAAAGGACCAGGTCTGATTTTATAGCGAGCGTTACAGATTTCGTTCTATCGAAAGCTTTGTACCCAAGCCTCCAAGTTCCCAATGCAATCGAATTTATTTGTCAGGTAAAAATGACAACACTCCGTAACAGCGCTTGTTTTGTTCGTCACTGAAGTGTTCCTGATTCCCAAGTATACATACGACAATACACACAAGACGGGCAGAAGTCCGGCCTCGTAATATTACGAGTTTTTCGCAGGAACAGCATGTTTATGTTCAAACGGCTTGATTTCACAAGAGGCGTTCAAATTTCGACCGATCAGTGCCAACGCGTGCACGAATAATGTGGGCAGGCCTCGTAAGCGTTGTGAAATCCCCCTACCACGCACCCGAGCCTATGTTAATTCCCTGCGAGGCCATATGCGCGCATTTCACGTCCAATTTCCTCTTATGTGAATTACGTGAACTCTACGTGCCGTACTCTTGAAGTTCGGCAGCAGTCAGGCGCCGTCAGATTTCCGTACTCGCTCGCCGGCACGCGGCCTGAACTCACTCCCCGTTTTCTGCCCTTGCATATAATTTTCTCCCTCCTCCACTTTCTAAATTCTCATCTGTTTAACTACACCTCCTGCGTCCCCATCTCTTGCCTACTTTTCGTTCAGCTCAACTCCGCCAGCACCCGGTCGACGCGTACGCTGTCGGGGCGAGTTGGCGAGCGAGTACGGCAATTTCACGAAGTCTGTCTTCGGGCTGCGAGGCGGACGGTCACGACAGCGGCAGCCGGTCTCGCGAGCAAAATAGCTGCGAAGCGCAGTGCACGAAATTAACAGCCTCGGGTAGGGGGTGGGAAGGATTTCACAACGCTGCTGCCAAGGCAACACTTTCCCGTGCAAGGGCACTGAAACTAGTCGCAATTCCTATGAATGTAGTAGCACACTCGAGGCCCTTGAACCAGCATGAAATGTTATCGACACGGGGGCTTCCGAAGCCCCCTTACTTGATGCATTTTCTTAAAGCGTGATCTTTTAACACGAGCACGCCGCACAGTACCCTGCACGACGTTTGGCTGTCCTGCGTTTACATTGCGCACCTAAATAAAAAACAACGGCGCCCTAAATAATGCTGACCAGTCAGAATACGACGCACTAAAAAAAATGTTTACTTACGCTGCATACGTGCGACGTATCAGTCGGTTGCCACTTGTCTCGTTTGATTTTAACGGTCCAAAGAAGCCTTCTTTTTGGGTCTCTTGGAAACCGGTACAACTTCCATCCGTTTCTCGAGTGATTCGAGCACTGCGGCACGCAGCAGCCGGGCATGGTGATGCGGAGATGGGTGCATAAAACTGTAAGGGAATGAACACTGCCCAACAACACCTCACACGCCAAGCACGAACTACCGGCCGGAGGCGCCAAAATGGCGGTCGCGCTGGCGCCGAAGCCGAGGCGGCGGCATCTGCCCTTGCAAAAGCTGACACCACTCTAAGCGGGGGCGCGCGCATCGAGGCACTCTAGAATCGCGGCGCAGCGAGCGCCATCTGCTGCCGCGCCTGCGCTGGCCGGTAAAGCACACCTGTTTTGCTCGGCGTGCTTGCGCGAAGCTGGGAGCTTCGCCCGGCGGCGACGGCGGAGTGTTGGCCTAAGGAGCTTCGCTCCAAAAAAGATGATGGTTCGCAGGTACCCGAAAGTTTACCAACCCAGACAAAGCGAGCGCCCCTTTCAAGCCCTTATTTTTTTAATTTGGTTGCTTGACGTTTTTGTTGGTTCTTTGCTTCAAGCTTCCTTTTTTTTTCTGCTGAACAAAGACGGACAAAGGACAGATGCATAGTTTTCTGTTTTACGATGGTATATCGTATTATAAAGGCAATAAACACCTCTACATGAAAAAACTACTGCAAGCAATATTTCATTTCTTGTTTGCGTTGTAATTTCCCTCAGCTTTGCGTTTAAGCAGCAACTTCACTCCTGACCAGTCTGAAGGCAAGTTGACGCATGGGTGAGGGGCCCATGCCTGATAAGAACAAAGCGTTTTATTCAATGACCAAATACCGTGTTCACGATACTCTAGATATATCAAAACAAAAAATGTACAAAAGGCGTAAAACTAAGGCCAAATTTGGTACCGCTAAAGTTTGTGAAGGATAAAAGAATAAAGGTATTATATTTGACGTACGTAGAGATTATTGCACCCGCAATAGACATAAGGGTTTCTGATAGCGGGAACAGTTTAATGGACAAAAACAATGTAGACGCAGACGTTCAAAATGGAGATCATGCGCAGCCCGAAATAACACATGGGAGAAAAAATTACGGCTGGCGTCATTAAATAAAATAACGACGCGTGTTGGCTGCGTTATCGCTAGTTTAGTAAATGCTCACATAAAAAAACATGTACACGAATTATTAAAGGCCTTGCTCAGCGGGTTTCTTGGATTGTGGTCTTGCAAAGAGAAGTTACATTAATGCTCAAGATAGATCCTTCAGCTATTCACGGTCATCTTACACCGAGCCAACTTACCCCGTCAGTCTGTGCTAGCGAGCAGAGTGAGTGATTGAAGAATTGTAAATTTACACTTTGCAATAATAGCGCAAAATTTGAATTACCAAATTTAAAACAGGCGCAGTTTTACTTAACCAATGACGTAGCGCGTAAAATATGTGATATACAGGACAAGGAAAGGGACAAATGGAAGCGCTTAGTTCCAAAAAAATTTATTTCGAAGAGCGTACGTATCTGCTCACGAAATGCGAAAGAGCACTCAAAGCAGATTATAAATCAACAGTTGCCATGCACGAAAATCTTGCAATCCCAGGAAGGAATAATTCTTTTCCACAAAGACCGAGGGAGGGCGTGCTGACGCAGCTCAGCTATAATCTACAAATCATCTCGGCCTCGATTAGTTATGGCTTACCAACACACTCAACTTCATACTCTCGCCCATTTTATAAGTTTTCTCGCAGTAGCCACTGATCAGCTTTCGTAAGCAACCGATGTGAGGAAATCCAACGAGGGCGCAAGGGCTACCGTCCATTCCATGCCCCCTAATTTGCGTCAGATGCACTCCTGGCGACAGGTTTGCAGCCCATGAAGCAAGGTCGACCTCGAACTCTTAGCAGAAATAGTACACCGATAGGTGCCACTATCAGCAGCACAGATACGTGCATGCGCCTTTCAATCCCAGACCAACGAATGTGTGACGACCTCCGCGAGCCCGCGCAATGTCCTGCACATGTAGCGTCCACGAAGCCCCCAGAGGCACTCGACCATTTTGTTCTATGAAAGCGGCTTATCTTATCAGCTGTTTTCTCGATAACGAACGTGCTCGCAGGCATGCGAATATCTACACGAAGCGAGAAGTGCGTAGCGCGCGGAAGGAGGTTACTCCTGATGTGCCTGGCCTTATCACTGCAGCCGCCGCGTTCAAGCTGCCGGAGACGCGCCTGAATGGCTCTTCGAGAGTGCTAGGTGTGCCTCGGCTGTGGTCTTGCAGTCTCGGAAGTGCGACATGGAGCGCCAACACTGACATCGACTTATGTGGGAGTGACTTGGCGAGTAGTGAAGGAGTCTTTCACCAGTCAACTTTACGCGGACGTTCACGTTATACAGGTGGGCACTACGGACGCCGCCCCTTTCCTGTCGGGTCTGCGCCAATAGCCACCGGAACAAGCATCGGCTACGGGTACCTGCGTTTGCCCCGCATTCGGAAACCTCCAAACTTCGGCTCTCATTGCCGCTTGGTCAGTGGAGGCGTTCTTGAAGAGGTCTGCGCTGAAGACAGTGTTGCGGCCGCCGTGTTGTGTATGCAAGCTAGTCAGTGTTCATAGATATAGTCTTGTCACTGTGGACTCAATTAGGCTGTTCGGTTACAAGATTCCTCATTAATTGGCGAGTTCGAAATGGATAACTTAACAAGAATTGAAGAGGACAGGCGCAGGGGTAACAGCCCCTACAAGACAGCCACCACCATTGCTGCTGTGGTGGCCATTGTAAGTACACTTTTTACAGCGAAAGCTGTTATGATATCAAAACTCGTGTCACACACGGCGCTGTAGTTGTCTGCCACCGCCAGTGTCCATAACACCTATCGCGAAATAAGAAAAAAAAAACTCGCATTAAGGACACAGTGGGGATTGAACCGGGTCCGCTGCGTGCCAGTCCAGTATTCTACTTCTGAGCAACGCTGGTGCTTGGGACTTGTTCGCAAACTTGCCTAAAGCACGCTTGATACCGGGAAAGGAATCGCGTTGAAACGAGTAATAAAGCGTTTTAGAACAGCAAAAGAACAACGAGGCGTCACATAATGAGAATAGCGTAACGAGTGGGTCGTCCAATGCTACAACCCATTACCACAGCTTGTTTTTGTTCAGCTTTTAACAACGGCGCATACCCACTTCAGGCATAATTCTTCATCGTCATTAACTACTGCAGGAACAATTGGCACGAAATTCCTTGCAAGCGTTTAGCGGATACAACGCTTCTCAGAAGAGTGACGAAAAATAGCATAGCGAATGCTGGTCTACTACCCAGAAATTATTATTATTAACGTCATAGTAGGTACCCAGAACGTGTGCTTGCTGCAGTTACCCCATGAGTGTTTTGAAAAGTCTCTGTAAGGCCGCTCTTCTAGCTTTCGCCGTGACTGTGCTGCGTCTTCCACGCAGGCCTGTCGTTTTTTTTTTTTTTTGTTCCCTACAGTTTTTATAGCGTATCACTAATGTCGAAAAATTGTTCTGCGTTGTCAGACTTAATACTGATCAGGTATATGTGTTGTAGAAATTATCCCTGCCGTATGCAGGAAATTCGCGTGATGTCCGCGCTAAACGTGTATTCGTACGCTGATGCAAAAGTCTGATGTAAGCCTTAGCCTTACATTCCCATAACAATGTAAATTGTTCTAACTAGCAATGAAAAGTCAATGGGTCAATTACGAGGCTTATGACGTTTCTCCTTCTCTTTTGATGCTCTAGTCAGGTGAATAATTCAATGTGTTATATGAATTATGCTTCTTTCAAATGTGCCCAGACCGCTTGCGCACCAGCTATTTATTATTCACAAATGGCTGCCCAATTACATCACTTAGAAAGACAACCGCTTGGGAAATCGCTGAACTTTGTTGCGCAGTTGCTGCGCGTTTCAGAATACTTTGCTCACGTTTAGTTAGGCATCTTCGTTTGGCATAGTTACTTGCACTGCTGTGCAGAAAGATTAAATTTAATAATTGGAAAGTTTTCACGTCCCAAACCCACAATATGGTTCTGAGGAACGCCGTAATGGAAGCCTCCGGAAATTTCGACCACATGGGGTTCTGATTAACATGCACCTAAATCTAAAAGCACACGAACCTGAACCATTTTCGCTTTAATGGAAAATGTGCTCATCGGGGCCGAGATTAGATCCTCTGACCTATGAGACAGCAAAACAGCCATTTGGGCTGTTTGTAACGGTTTACTGTGAACGCAAAAGTGGGGCGCCTTACGTAACAGGGACTGGAGAACAGAACGACAACATGGACGTGCACTCGCAACTGGAAGTTTAGTGAAGAGACAACACAAATACAGCTTGCAAAAATTATCACATGGTACAATTTTACTTACCTAAAGAAAGCATAACGACGGACTCAACTATTACCGTTCCACACACAAAAAAATAATTAAAGCGCACGCGTCTCAACGGAAAAAAGTTGAATAATGAATAATTTTGAAAAATCGCAGGAGTGAGAAAGAGTGGGAGCGCGCGGATGAAGAGAACCAAAAGATTAGTGCAGCGTTGAGCGCCTTAACCAGGACATCGTGGTGGGTTGCTGTGAAGGAAAGAACTTTCAGACTTCATACCTGTATTTTTCGTTATGCCGTAACATGAAACAGCACACTCTACAGGGCGGAGTGGGGTTGCATGCTCTACTCCTCCCCCAATAATTATTTCTTATTGATGCTTCCTGAAAATCTTGCACTAGTGGCAAAGTTGTTATGTTCTTAATATATAGCAGCGAAGTTAAAAATATACTCTTGACAGCTCGCTCAACACCGTTATACTCTTTTTTAATTATGATTAATTAGGTGACGCCGGCACCAGGAGATCACAGACGTGAAATAATAATAATAATAATAATAATAATAATAATAATAATAATAATAATAATAATAATAATAATAATAATAATAATAATAATAATAATAATAATAATAATAATAATAATGATGATAATAATAATAATAATAATTTAGTGTGCCAAGGAACAACCACCACGTCTTTGTGCAGACGCACGCCAAATAAAACACTAAAAATACACAATACAGACTACAGAAAAAAAAACCTATAATAAAGTCAAAACGCAGACAAAAACAAACCTGCGCAAAATGGGAAGAATAAGCGACAAGACGAGAGTCATGAAATGGCAGCGAAAAATAGAAGGGAATATACTCAGTGAAAGGCAGAAGACGGAAGAATCTGTACCGTGTGAAAATTTATGATAAGTGCAAAGCTGAGATAAAAGCAATGACAGTGGATTGGAAAAATAATCTGAATTGAGAAAATTAACATTATATAGACTTTGCATATTGTGAGTGGTAGAGTGTTTAAAGATGCCCACCCACGATGAACTAGTGGTTAAGGTACTCGGCTGCTGACCTGCAGGTCGCCGGATCGTATCCCGGCTGTGGTGGCTGCATTTTCGATAGAGGCAAAAATGCTGTAGGCCCGTGTGCTCAGATTTGGGTGCACCTTGAAGAACCCCAGTTGGTCGAAATTTCCGGAGCCCTCCACTACAGCGTCCCTCATAATCATATGGTGGTTTTGGGACGTTAAACCCCAATATCAATAAATCAGCCAGAGTGTTAAAAGAAGTTGGCAGGTACATGAAATGGTTGATTTTCTCTCAGTAACTTGCACGGAATCTGAAAATTTATACAACTAAGAAATAAAGGGCAGAATATCATTTCGCGAACTAGTTTAGAAAGAAATAGGAGGTCCGCGCGATTTTGCAGGCAGTAGAGTGATGGCAAAGTCAATAATCTGACAGTGTTAGAACGAGATCTAGAGTCAATTTCTGCAAACCGATTGTTTTCAGTGCTTATGAACGTTTTCTGGAATCGCTCAATGGCGTCACTGCCATATATAGCAATGCCATTTTAGATAACAGATGCATACTCAAGTTGAGGAGGACATATTGCGGTGTACAATTTCTGAAAGGCTGTAGGAGAACTGAATTCTCGAGAAATTCTGCAAGCACAGCCGAGATAACGAAGGCCTCGCATGGCAGTACGTTTATTGGAAGCAGAAAACTTGAGCATGCTATCGAAACACCAATATCACTGAACTCACAAACCTTACATAACGAAACGGTATTGACAAAGTGTATAAATGACACAATGAATGTTTCGTGAGATATACTCATGAACTTGGTGTTTGATGTATTCAGAGAAAGATTATTGTTGTGACACCCTTCAGAGAAAGAACACAAATCTAGCTTAAGCAAGCGAAAGTCGCTAACTGAATGAATTTTCTTAAATGTCTTGATCTCATCAGCATACAAAAAAAAACAAGAACGAATTGCAAACAAACTGTAGTTAACGTAAACTAAAAATAAGGGTGAGCCTAATATCGACCCTTGAGAGAAACCACTTGTAACTTTATACATGGAAGACGCTTAGCCATTTACGGCAACATAGCATAATCTATTAAGCAGGTAGATGTGCAAGAGATTCACAACAGAGGAGTCAACATCTAAATTTGCATGTTTAACCCAAAACACTCAGTGGCTCACTACGTCAGAAACCTTCCTCAGGTCACAGTAGACTACATCAACCTGTCCGCTCTGAAAAATATATGGGGCGACTTGCTTCATGAAACTGGCAACATTTGGGACATTTCAGCGGCCACGGAGAAAAACTGTGTTGATTAGGAATCAATGAATTTTCCACGCTAACATACGGTATACTGTAAAGAGTTAGCTGGAAAATCTTCGATGTACATACAGCAGAGAAATCAGGCGATAGTCAGAAATATCAGTTTTGCAGCCCGACTTAAATGTTGGGAAAACACGCGCCGTTTTTCACATGCTGGGAAATGGGGTCACATTCGGACAGTTATTGAAGAAACACTAAAGGCAGCTATTACGTCGACGTTGACTGTTGAAATAACAGTCCGGAAACCCCATATTGCTACTTTTATGCCAAAGAAAGGCTTATTTTTTAATAAAATCAGGTTACAATGGTCCGCATGAGGTTGGCGCGCTTCAAATTAACGAACCTCAACGGAACATTCGACGACACCGTTGCTGTGATCGACGTTGCCCGGTTTCGATAAATGACTTCAATGACTTCATGAAAAAAATGTCTTCGTAATTTCACTCGCAACAATAATAATGAAATCGCAACACTAACTATTATTTTCTAGGTTTTATTATAGTTATAAGTTTCTGTAGATCTCTTGTCGATTCATCTGGCACTCTGTCGTATAGACCACAAGTGTTTCAACAATTCACAGCACTCTTAGATCCTAAAAAGTGTTTTAGGTAAAACATTAACCCTTAAGCCAAGCAAGAGGGTATTTGGAGAAGAAAAACACACTTGCAGTCCCATTTTGGGTATATGTGTTTAGACGAAATGGTGTTTTGGTTTCTTAAAATCATTTTAAGGGTGCAAAGTGGTTTAGGGTGTAGTTCCACTTCTGCTACTAAATCCGGGTTTATTATCAAATGATGATCCTCAATGAAGCATCCACAGCTGGACACCTCACTGTGCTTGCAAGCCCTCTTTTTTTAGAATGAATACGTACCAACTAGTTCACCTCTCGGTTATCCTGTGCTTCTTTTCAGGCACATGAAAAAAATACACATTTCGTTTTAACTCACTAACTAAACAAAGAATACTATCAATTATGGTTCAAGGTGACTGCTGTTCACAGCTAAGGCATCGTGAAATTCATTTGCGAAGTGCGAGCTGATCTTGGGTAATATTTAGCGCAATGAAACAGAAGGACAAGAAAG